GTGTGTGGTTTTAGTAATGGTGGTTTTTCTTAGGTGTGTGGTTTTAGTAATTGTGGTTTTTCTTAGGTGTGTGTGTTTTTAGTAATTGTGGTTTTTCTTAGATGTGTGTGTTTTTAATAATGGTGGTTTTTCTTAGATGTGTGTGTTTTTAGTAATGGTGGTTTTTCTTAGATGTGTGTGTTTTTAGTAATGGTGGTTTTTCTTAGGTGTGTGGTTTTAGTAATTGTGGTTTTTCTTAGGTGTGTGTGTTTTTAGTAATTGTGGTTTTTCTTAGGTGTGTGTTTTCAGTAATGGTGGTTTTAGTAATTGTGGTTTTTGTTAGGTGTGTGTTTTTAGTAATTGTGGTTTTTGTTAGGTGTGTGTTTTTAGTAATGGTGGTTTTTCTTAGGTGTGTGTTTTTAATAATGGTGGTTTTCTTAGGTGTGTGCTTTTAGTAATGGTGGTTTCGAAAGTACAAATTGAACAACTTGCATAGAGCTTGAAGTTTATGGTTGTTACATCATATATTTGCTCGTTTGTTTGTTAAATGCCAAACTGAGGGCTGCTTGATATTTATCTAACAAACAATACAAATCTAGACTGTCAGGATGAGTTTAGGCAAAAGTGTAGTTTAAAAAATATTTATAACTAAAGTGTTTTAATGCTAAAACTTCACATCAGCTCCAGTGTTTTAATGCTAAACTTCACACCAGCTCCAGTGTTTTAATACTAAAACTACACACCAAATCTAGTGTTTTAATGCTAAAACTTCACACCAGCTCCAGTGTTTTAATGTTAAAACTTCACATCAGCTCCAGTGTTTTAATGCTAAAACTTCACACCAGCTCTAGTTTTTTAATGCTAAAACTTCACACCAGCTCCAGTGTTTTAATGCTAAAACTTCACACCAGCTCCAGTGTTTTAATGCTAAAACTTCACACAAACTTATAGTGTTTTAATGCTAAAACTTCACACCAACTCTAGTGTTTTAATGCTAAAACTTCACACCAACTCTAGTGTTTTAATGCTAAAATTTCATATCAACTCAAATTATTTTTAATACAAAATTTCGCGCCTGTTATTCAAGTGATCTTTAATGCCAAATGTTCGCGCCTGGATTTTGTTTTATAAACATCGTGTTAATTCCAAGGTAGACGACGAATATCGTCTAACATCTAAAAAAAAAAAAACAATTAACACGAAGATGACTCACAATCGAAAACCTAAAGATTAAATTTCTAATAACCTTGAATCCACTCCATTCACGCTATCTTATGTAATAATTTCCCCGAAAGGGGGCCCAAAACCGCCTGGAAAAGTCACCTACTTTAACCATTCGCACTACTATAGAGTAGTGTGTTGTCTGTCAGTCAGTCAGTAGACACTAACATGACGCCTGGAAAAGTCACCTACTTTAACCATTCGCACTACTATAGAGTAGTGTGTTGTCTGTCAGTCAGTCAGTAGACACTCATACGGAACGCAAAATGTTGCAATTTATACTGTCACGACGTCAGTAAAACGTGCGCGTCCCATGAATCACGAGAAATATTATG